ACTGTGTCTGCGTACATCCTGCACATCAGAGCTTTAAATTGTTCTGTTTTTCTGCAGCAGTCAGTGGATTTGCAGCTAAAAGGTTTAAACAGCTCTAACAGAAGGACAGATGTTGACATCAGGAATAGGTGGAGGAGACCAATGCAGAGCAAAAAGAGTCCAAAACACACCATCTTTTATGACTTACATATATTATAAAATGATGTTAATTATGGCTTTAGTTTGACCTTCAGTGCATGGTTACGAGCTCTTTCCAGCTCTGAACATCAGTTTGATTCATCGCGTTATTTTAATGTCACTGATTGTGATTTTCAGCCATCGCTGACCTTTATCAGATTATGCCATATCGCCTGCGTTCATCACAAACACTCAGTCACTCCGTGTTCTTCTCCGTCTTCTGTGTCATCTCTACACTCAGTCACCCTTCTTCTGACTGAAACTCGCTGAAAGTCGGTAGAAGCAGCTCTGATGTTCGCCCTGTTTGTTTCTCGAGCATCCAGCGGCGTCTCGTACTGAAGCACATGCAGAAGCATTTAGCGCGCCGTCAGAAGTGGTGAGAGGTCTTTATTTGGCTGAAATGAGCCGAGCTGCTCTGCGATGGTCTCGATTAGCAGCTTCTAAGCCTGATCATCCTCTTATTTCTCTTTTCTTTCTCCTCATCTCATGATGTGCTGATTGAGCAACATGCTGCATGCAAAGCAGGAGCAGATGACGCTTTATTTCTGACTTCTTGAGGAGAACTGAAACCAGCAGCATCGGGCTCCGGGCCCTCCATCCCTCTGGCCCGAACTGCTCCAGAAATAGGGCCTGTTTTTGTAAGAAGATCCATCCCAGAGATGCAGCCACCTCCCTCCTGCCCTCCCTCTCTTTTCCCTGCGAGACTCTGGTGGTCTGTCAGGTCTCTGAAGTGGAGAGAAGTGTCTGTTGTGTGATTAGAGAGGCTGTTTAACTTATTTAGAGATTCAGAAAACATCGTGTCTGTAGTTATCGGTTAGAACAGGAGCAGCTCATTAGTACTCCCACTTCAAACAATGTGCTTTTATCCATTTTTACATTAGAAGAAAGATATTGTTTGCATGTGTTTAGGGATGAGTCTTTGCATTAGTGCTGGAGCTGCCAAACAGACTTTATCTGGGGAGACTTTTCAGTTTGAGGAACTTTGTATTCACGTCTGCTCAGAGTTCCTTTTTGTCCCCAGACGGAGGACGTTTCTTGTGTAACCGTTTTCCATGTAGACTCGCTTTTGTCTCGCTTTCACCCACTTGCAACATCCGTCACATGGCGACGTTGCTGCCGGTTAACTCGACAGCAGTTGTGCAGCGGGGAGTGATGGTTATTTGACAGAAAGACGGCGGTTGTAATCGTGGGAGCCGCTGCTGAAATCCATCTGTCAGACGAGCTTTGAAGGCTCCTCCCGTAGGGCCGACGCGATGTGCTGCTCAGTTCATACGGAGATTTTCTAATATTTTATTTTTTTTTGCACAGAATTAATCATCTGTACGCAGCTGTCAGGCGTCGAATGCTTCGAGATCCTTATGACGAGAAGATTTTTAGATTAAAGCTTTCAACTGGGAAGGAAAATATTTGGATATCCATTTATTTTGTTGACCCAGAGCGTTCAAAATCCCTCATTCCTGCTGCACCGTACACCATCAGTACCCGTCTGCATTACCTCCAAATCCCTGTCTGACATAGAAAACGTTTTATAGAATAACACGAGGATGCAGCCAGTTGGAACGCCGCTGTTCCATCGCTGCTGAGTTTATTCGAGGCCGTTCAGACGACCCCGCGGGAGTCGGAGCGCAGATGATGGCAGGAAAGTAAGAGGAAGCCGGCTGAGACTGAACCATGTGTTGTTGAGGTCCGGGGGGGTCTCTCAGGTATCACGCTGTCTTCGGAGGAAATCGGAGGAAAGGTTGTCGCATGTTGGCATTTGGAGGTTGCTTATGTCTTCGGGGGGGTCTTGGAAACACGTCGCACTGCTGCTGATGACTGCAGAGAGAGAGACGAACCCACGGATCTGCTCCTTTACGTATCGCTGCCATTTTTATTCATAATGTGATTTTGCTGAATTGTTAAGAGCATTAAAAGTACCCCATAGGATCCCATTCACTTCTGAAGATAACAGAACAATGCATCAGACTTGTGGGTGCTGTCACTGCTTTTGTTTTGGAGGCCTTTGTCGGGCCATATCTCCTGTGTGTCATTCAAATGCTGCTTGATTATATAATTTGGTGTCGCAGCAGAGAACATGAACGTGTAAACATTAAAGCTGCAGTGTTTTGGTGCTTCAAAAAGATTTCAGCCACAGTGGGAAACAAGCGGCTTAACTCCCCTTTTAGGCATAACTGTACACTTTAAAGACTTACATTAATGTCCACAAAAACTCAGAAAGCAATCCAAGAAAAAAAAAAGAGAGGGAAGCTTCTAAGTGGTTGCTTCTGGACGATGAGTCCGTCCACACTGCACAGGAGGCCGAAGCAGCCGAATGTGGCTTTGAACTGCTGCACCTTCCTGCACCGTCTGACTTCTGTTTCTGAAACCGAAATCTCACTTTGCTATTTTCAAATATGATGATGAGGTCATGCATGTTGTTGAGACGTATCTTAGCCCTCAGAGGTCCGCCGTCACGCCAGCATGATATAATCATATGACATTTTTGAGACGTCACAACAGAAAAACTAGCACATGTATGGCGTTGACGTCAGCTTCACTCGAAAGTGCAGACTTTACACTCTCTCCCAGTTTTTGTTTCATGTTGATAGACGGTCATTCTGGACAGAAACTATTTTCAGGAGTGGAATAGATAAACAGAGAAAGAAAGCCACACCTGCTTTGTATATAGTTGCAAATATTTGTATTTAGTTTGATTTTATATCAAATTTACCTTTTCGTGTTCATATCTGCAACCTATAGTTATATTTTCAACCTTCAAAATGCTTCGTTAAGCATGTTTGTGTAGTAGGTTAAAGTAAAAAAAATAATAGTCAGATTATATAGGCGATGTTGTGCAGAGAAAAAAGATCCCAAACTTGGGCACGGTCAACATGTTCCTATGTGGTATATAAAGACACAACTACAAGTAAGTAAAAACGGCCAAAACAGGCCAAGACCTCTAAGGGTTCAGGTTCAAAATGTTACCTTCCTCCACAAAGGGATGGTGAAGCTTGAACATCGGTGGACCAAGTGCACTAAAGCTAAAGAAGACTGTCGAAAAATAATGCAAGATCGATCCTTCGATGTTTTTTAATGAGGCTGCGAATGTTTGTGTGTTGCACCTTTAGGGATCTGTGTTTTTCGAAGTTCTTTTTCTGCTTCTGCTGCATCTTACATGAACTGTTGCGGCGCTTCGGACACATTTACAGTCAGCGGGCACGTCGGCAGCGCTCTTTAGCTCGCCCTCCTCGCCCCTCACACCTTCAGACTACTAATGCGAGACCGACTGCCAAGGAGTCG